ATTTTCTTCTATTATAATTTGGTTTTGGAAACAGTTGATTGGTTTGTCTGTTGTGTCTATGGTGTATGTGAGCGATATTTCGCTGTGAATTGTGGCTCTGTCTGACTGTACATCGTCCTCTAGGGCATGAATATTATGCCGTGACAGTGCGTCCGCAACGTAGTTCTCCTTCCCTGGCTTGTAATAGATGTTTGCGTTATATTCATCTATAAAAGCTTTCCAACGCCTGATTTTTTGCGTTCGGGTTTCGGTCGGATACTGCAAACGTCAGAGGCTGATGGTCCGTAAAGATATTTAAATTTTTTACCCCATATAGATAATTTCGGAGGTTTTTTAAAGCCCAAACTATTGCAAGTAGTTCCCTCTCATTTGTTGCAAAGATAAGCTCTCTATCCTTTAATGTTCTTGATATCATGGTGATTGGTTTTCCACCTTGTGACAGAACTGCCCCAAGACCAGAGGATGAAGCGTCCGTTGTTAAATCAAACGGCTTCTTGTAGTCAGGGTAGAGCAACATTACATTTTCGGATGCAAGAACCTCTTTTAGCTTCTCGAATGCCGCATGTTGACTCTCGTCAAATTTTACTGGAATTTTTTTGGATTGTCCGGCGCTCACTTTGCCATTTTGGCCTTTTAAGATGTCGCTTATAGGTTTTGCTATAGACGCGAAGTCCTTGATGAAACACCTATAGTAGCTTGCCAACCCAAGGAATGATCTGACGTTAAACAAAGTTGTTGGTACTTCATAGTTACGAATCGCTTCAACTTTACTTGGACATGTCTTTATACCATTACTTGAGACTACGAAACCTAGGTATTCTACACTTTCTTTGAAAAAGTGCGACTTTTCTGGTGAAACTCTCATGTTGGCCTCGTATAGTTTATCTAGGACCCAGGCGATATGCTTGACATGGCTTTCCATATTTTCAGAAAAAATGATTACGTCGTCTACGTAAACATAACAAGATTTTCCAATTTGCTCTCTGAGCACATCGTCAATGGCTCTCTGAAAAATACTAGGTGCATTTTTCAAGCCAAAAGGGAGCCTGCAGAACTCATACTTTCCGCTTCCTACAGAAAAGGCTGTTTTTTCTCTATCTTTTTCGGCAAGTAAAATCTGGTGGAATCCGGATTTTAAATCTAGTGTTGTAAAGTACTTTGCTGTGCCTAAGTTGGATAAAATGGAGGCTATATTGGGAATGGGGTATTTGTCATCTATTGTCTTTTTGTTTAGTTTTCTGAAGTCTATAACTAAACGTTTCTTTTTTCTTCCCTGCTCGTCGGTACCTTTTTTATCTACAACCCACACGGGGTTATTGTATGGTGACTGGGACGGACGTATTATACCGTTTTCTAACAGATCTTGAGTTTCTGTGTTTACGAATTCTGATACGCCCATTGGGTATGGATATAATTTTGAATAAATGGGATTCTCGTCCTCTGTTCTAATAGTTGCAATGACATTTGTATTATACGGAAGCGCTTCATTTGGTTCCGCAAATACTCCTGCTCGGGCTTTGAGCATTGTTTGAAATTCCGTTGTTATAGCCTGAGGGGCTTCTATTTCTTTGACACTTGTGAAATTTACGGCTGGGCATTTTAGAAAGTTAATGGTCTCAGAACCATAGTTTGTTGTTAGTTTCTTATTTTTGAAGTCTAATAAAACGTTGGTTTGGTTTAGTAGGTCAAGTCCGATTATACCATCGAATGTCGTGAGGTTTGGTAATAAGAAAAATGTTGTCTTGGTATTAAAAAGGTGCATTATGCATTTCTTGTCAACTACGTTGTGGCCATGGATTGATTTTAATCGAAAGGGTTTTTCTACCGGCGTAATATTTTTTAGTTCTTTTAATGGTCTCACGTAATTCTTTGAGGCTCCGGTATCTATTAGCAACTTTATGGTTTTCCCTGCTATCGTTCTCTCTATGAACGGGAGCAGGGATTTATTCCTAAAAAATTGACCTGGTCGTATTCGTCCAATTCATTGTCAACGTCTTCTGTCTCGGTTTCTGCGATCGCTTGGTATTCGCTATTGTCCTGCTCGTATTCTGTATCTTCTGTTCCTAGGTGGTTAACTCTTTGCTGTTTCGGTCCTGTGAACCGTGCGCTACCGCTGTTTGGTCGTTTGTTTGCCTGTCCCTGGTTATTGTAGTTTTCGTATTGAGTGCGTCGTTGTTGATTTGGCCACTGAGTCTGTTTCGAGAAGGTCGCGTTTTGTTGGTGTTGCGTAGCCTGTCTGAAGCGAGAAGATGAGTCAACGTCCATTGGTTCTACCTGTTCTTGTCGTGGTGAGAATTCTGGTCTTTTGTAGTGTGGGCTTTTTCCTGGTTGGTTGTGTTTTGGGTCTTGAGCTAGAGTCTTGTCTCTGACTTGCTGTCTTTGTTCGATCTTCTGCGCTTTTTCTTCTATACTGCGGGCGAAATTTGTGGCGAACATATAACGTTCATGATTTGACTCAACTTCTTGAGCCAATGCCAATGCAGAGGGAAGATCAATTGGTCTAGCTGAGAATAGGACATCACTTAAGGCCTTCCTGGTTCCTGAGATGAATACTCGCAGGGCGTCTGCTCTATATTTCTCATTTAGCGAAGAGGCAACGGTGGTGTCGTAGGTCATGATTGTCTTATTTATAAGTAAAGTCAGTTTCTTTTCTACCTCGTCGTAGTACTGCAGTAGTGTCAAATTTCCTTGGCGGAGTGTTGACATCTCCTGTTCAATTAAGTATATCGGTCGTTTGTCGGAGTACGTGAAATCTAACCGATTTATAATGGCCTTAAAATTTAGAGGAGTGTCGAAAGAAGAGAGTACCATATCAGCAGCGTTCTTAATTTTGTTTCTTAATATTCCCAAAGCTTGATAATGCTTTGAGCTACCATCGTATTTCTCATATACCTTGTATGCGATATGCGCAGCCTTTCTCCAAGATACATAAGTTTCGCTTTTTCCTTCAAAGTCCGGGAGGGACTTCATGATGTCAAGGGTTTCGTTGCAAATAACACCTATTTTGATTTCTGCCTCCTTGAAAGTTTCTACCTCGGGTGCGCTAACCTGTACTGAATTTATACGTTGTTCAATTTCGTTTAATTTTCTATCAAAGCTATCTTTTTGAGCAGCTAAAGCGCTTGCGACTGCGCCTTCTACTATAGCTTTTAATTGATCTGAATTCAAAGCCATTTTTAAATTTTCTGTGTTGTAAATTTTTCGAAAATTTGTTATTAAATCTTGTATTTCACTATCACTCATAGGGCAAGTAAAGACAGGGAATTTTGCGTGCTGCGTTTTTTGTTATTAATAATTAATATTTAAAGGTTGAAATTGTATTTTTATTTGTTTTTACTCCTTAATTTCTTTTTTTTAATGAACACTCTACTCACATGTTCTTATATTATGTTAGTAGACTGTATGTTGTGTGTTTCTTCGCTGATGAGCCGCTTCGTGGTGGGTGTCTTCGCTGCGTACTGCTTCGTCTAATGCTGCTTTCTTTTTTTCTTTTTTCGTTTTGGTTATGCGTTTTAGTTGTCTTGCTGTTTTTTTTTTTTGCACTTGTGGGGTATTTATCTCACTGAATGCTTGTTTTAATCGAAGTTTTAATTTCGTTTTTTTTTTTTTTTTTTTTGTTCGTTTCGGTTGGGCGCCAATTAAGCTTTTTTGCTGTAGTTGTTAGATGTTAGTGTGCGGTGTTGCACAAAATGAGTAGACTTCAATAATCCCGTGGCGACGACCGACGTTCTTTATTATCAAAAATCAACTAAAGTACAGTGACATAAATTCTTATATCCAAAGCTAGCCCTAAACCCTGATTATGCTGACATTGCATATTTACGCGAGGCATCGCATTACTTCGGGCAACAACATTGTTGCGCGTTGGAGCCACTGCTGCTGTTGTGCAATATCCGCTGGGAACGGCTACATTCATGCTGACGGCGCGTGATCAATCTGAACATTTATGTTTTGCTGGTCGATTGTGTTAACTTATACATACATATGTATGTATGTAGCACGTTTAATGTGGTTATATATATGGCTAATTTAGAACGGGGTAGCAACAATGGTTGGGCTGCCCAAAAATATCAGACATTTCAATTCCAGCTTTGCCCTGCGGTGCTCGAATGCTCAAATGCCCAGACAAGGAGTCATAAAGCGCAGAGACCCCCCCAACCATGCAGTACGTTAGGCCTAGCCCCAACAACCGTCGAGCCGCTCCTGGAGCTCCTTTGCTCGGGTTTTTGTGTGCCATCCGGGCATACTTGAGATTTGGCGTGCCTGTCGCATGACATAATGTCAGCTAGAACAACAACAACAAAAGCACACTCAAAGTGTTCTACACCTAACCCACCCTCCTCTCTGGCTGCCGACTCTGTCTCTCTCCCTCTTTGTGCTCTCTTTCTGCTGGCATTGTCAAATGCACATGAAAATATCTCACTTTGAATAAATTCGTCATCGTTGTGAGGGACTGCGTCTGTGTTTCTCTGTGTGTGTGTGAGTGAGAGAGTGTGATTGTTAAATGAATATGTGTGTGTGTGTGTGTGTCTGCGTTATGTTAAGTAGCTGGAAATGTATATGAAAATAGCGGGGCTTAGCCATAGGTGTAAGAGAGAGGGAGAATCTAAGGCTGTGTAACTCAGCGAAATTTCAAATTGTGTGTTATTTTCTTCTTCTTTTTTGCGAGCTTGCCTTCATAAAGTGCCTACGTGTTTGGATTTGAAAAGGCAATATACGAACGAGCTGTCACCCTGGCTATGATATAACACAATCGCTCTATAGATATTGGCTTGCATAATAATAACAATTACGTGCACATATCATACACAAATATATACACACACATTTACATACATTTGTGTATAAGTCTGTAACTATAGATATGAACAGTTAATTTACTGCATGCACTTAATTGGCATTTTGCCAATTGTTTTTAATTAACCTCTAGCTAATGTTTGCTTCACATACACTTCCACAGTTAATAATCGCATTCTTTTGCCTCTTCTTGTCTCTTGCAGAAAGCGTTAAATCCATTCTGGGTCGGCACACAAAGATCTTGGTCAAGTATATGGTCAAATTGGAAACGAAAGGCGATAAAACAGAGAATCGTGTCTTGGTAAGTGTCGAGTGCAGTGCAGCCAAACATCAATTGGCCTGGCCCCAGGTGTTTATTTCCAACATCTACCTGGTCTCACCTGCCTTCCATCCAGCCATCCATCTGCCGGGGCCTGAGCTACAGATTTGCCGTGGCTCTGATTTGTATATGAAATTGCACGTTGAAATGATTCGCTTGAGGCTGTGCAGACCAAATTGCATTCAAATGGGCTGTGATGCCCTGGAATTGGCAGACGCCTTTCAATGGGGTATATTTGTCAGTTGTTTATATAGGAGGCAGTTATATTAAAATATATTCATTTGTTATTTCAATTACTCTCTTTGTTTCTCGTTCTTTACGTCTGTCTCTCTTTGATTTCTATCTGTCTCTTACTCTTTTCTTCACATTTTCTTTTAAAATAATATGCCCAGACTTTTGACACTCTTTTCCTTTTTATACGCCCCTGTCCCTATCTCTTGTTCTCTCTATCTCTCTCTCACTCTCTATCTATATATTTTCTGCAGAGAATTTGATAGTCTGAATAGCCTTCTCGCTCTGGCATCCCACACTCTCTTGCTACCTCTATCCTTCCATTGCTTTGCAGAGCATTTGATAGTCTATATAGCCTTTATATTCTTGAATTTCTTCAGTCATATACCTCTTCCCTCTCTCTCTCTCTATCTTTCTGTATCTCTCCTACATATATAGTAGTGTATACTCCTCTTTCATCTACTATTCCAGCACTTATCTAGCCAGATTCATTACCCCAGCCCCACTGCTCTTTCGCTCTCTCGCTCTCTGCTCACCTGCATCTCCCATCTTCCATCTTCCATCTATCTACCTGCCCGTTTAATAACCAGCAGCTGCTAGCCAGCTACCTTGAAGCATTTCGATTTGACGTCCATTTCCATGCTTGCCCATGCTTTCGAAACTCAATTAAAAGCCAAGCCGAAAGCCGAAGTTAAAGCACTTTAAAGTGCTTGGCTTCCACTTGCCGTCTCTTTCTTTTTTCTGCTCCTGCTCTGCAAGGGGCCGCATAGCTGTAAATGTAATTGATATTTTATAGCATACTTAGCGACGTTGTTGAATCCAATATACCCTGCCCTTTGGCTCTTGAGCGCTTTCAGTTTATGCTAATTTCTCGCCTCGTTTAGAGTCACATGACTGGAAAATTGATTTAGTTCGAGGCCTCGAGTCGAGCCGAGCCGAGAGTCGCAGAAAATAAAAGCTGCTTAGTGAGACAAAGTGTCCAATTACCCGAGTCACAGACAAATGGCTACTTAGCAGTTACCATCGACACCCTTCTTACTCTTCCTCCTCCCACACCTCCACCTCCGCCTCCACCTGCTCCTCTGCCTTGTTTGGTGCCCAGTGTCTAAATGAATTACAGAACGCACTTTGATTTTCAATTAAATGCTGCAAAAAAGTTTTCTTTTACACTCAAAGAAAATTGAGTTAGCCAACACTTCAGCTAGCTTCTACCTTCCGCCCCACCACAGCTACCGCTACCCCCTCTACACTTTGCACTTCGTTTATTGCACCAGCTTTTACTTGCGCCTCGAAATTGGCAGCTCGACTATGAAGCACATTTAGCCCCACAGCCCCACAAGTACTTATATTTCTGACCTCAACATATGCACAAGCTTTTGCATGTGCATCCGGTGCACTCAGCGAAAATTTAAAGCACTTTGTACTTGACTTAAATTTAATTGTCTATAAAGTATAAATTCTTATTTTATCTAAATTATATTAAAGTATTTTGCCATAATGGAAATAAACATTTCTCTTATATATTATAAAACTGGACCCAACTTAAAATATAAAATTAAATAAATTTTCCTAGAGTGTACCTCGGAAATTATTGAAATATTTTAAATTATAGGATATATTCTAAGTATAGCATTTTCTTCTCTAATTCAAAACTCTTCTTTTTTGCAGGTATTTACGCCCGTTCGGGTTTATTTGCTCAGCGCTAAAGTGCCCACAAAGGTAGAGTATACACACACACTCTCTCTTTCTTTTTCTCTCTCTGTCTATAGATATATACCCCTTCAATTACAACTAAATTATCTCTTAATTCTATAGATCGAATGCCATTTTCATTATCTGGATATTGTGGGCGTTGAGAGCAAAAAGTCAACACATTTCTCGATCATCACAAACGATCGTCCATATTCGTTTGTCACCACCGGCGATGCGGGCAGCTTTAGCTCGGTAACTAACTATACTATATGCACGAGTATATAGCCCATATCATCACTATAAATATTATATATATATATCGTTCACAGAATGCTGATGTCATATTGACCGATCTAGCCTCGGCGATCAAGCAAATATTTCCAACAGTTCCTCTCAAGTACATCATTAAAAAGGTAAGCATCAGAAAACCGAACACGCAATCGAAACATTTGTATTCGTATAATTGGCTCGAAACATGATATTGATAATATATATGTAGATAGATAGACAGCCTAGCTATATATGATATACTTACATATCATTCGTTATCAGCAACAGCATATATCACTAACAAAAATAATAAATATGTAAAATAAATACGAAATAATGTATAAGCAAACAAAATCTAAACAATATTAAAGTATAAATTATTTAATTTTTGGAATTTGTTAACATAAAACTCAATAAGAAATATAAATGTATAAAAAACATATACGAACCTTTTAATCATGGAATATGATGATGATATTTATCAATATCCACATCAATTTCTTCAGTTAATGAAGCATAAAATTCGATTCGGGTTTCGTCTTTAAGTAATTCAAAGTCTTCCCTAAAATACTTTTTACGATTCCTTTTAAACCCGCATAAGTCGCAAACTTTTCGTATTATGTTTTTGCCTAACTTAGTTGCTTTATGGACTAAAAAAAAGCAACAACAAGTTGATAGCTCAATAACTAAAAGTTTCTTTCCAATTTTTTCTCCTTTTCTTCAGTTTTTGTCAGTTTTGGCGATATGTGCGAATTTCCATAGAAAATATGTTTTTTTTTAGTGTGACTTGAAATTCTGTAAAATATAATGACCAAATAATGTCAACAAATACCGTATATATATGATAATATAATATAATTTTCACAGTTGTTTTTAATTGAATTACGCACTTTTTATATAGTTTTTTTTATGTATATACATATGCAATAATTAATTAAATGGGTGTGGGTGAGCTTTGGCAGCGTTTCAGTCATTTTCTTTTCAGCGCTGACTCACAATTTGCTTTTAATTAAAGCCCAATTAAATATTTAACGCGCAGTGGGCAAAAGTCAACTTAGCTTTTGACATACGATTCATAAATTGCATAGATTACAAATCGCTTTCATTAAATAAACAACAAATCGCATAAAGTTTTATGGCCCTATAAAAAAGTTTTATTTGTCTAAGGCTAACTCGTTTTCGCACATGTGAATTCTTATGCTGTTACTAGAAAATGTTAGCTTACGCTGCAGTAATAGTGTTCTGTTAGCGCCCTGTTAACTACAAGTAAATTAATGTAAGTATGTTAACGAACAGGTAGCTAACAGTGCTATGTTAAAGCACTGCTAACTACAATTTTTCACTCTGCTAATAATATCTGTTCGCCTGGTACCTCTGTATCGCAGCCATTCAAATTTAGTTTCTTTGCATAATAATAATAGTTACAAAAAAAAATCGTATTAAATAATCACTTCAGCCTAGATCGTTGCTCAAGTTGTCTCAAGGCGAAGTCTTAAATGATTTTGATTAAATTGTTAATGGACGATTAGATTGTTGCACACATGTAGATATGTGTAGGTGTACATTTTTATATACATATGTATTTATAGAGCTACTTGGGTGCGTAAACACCAACGCACACGCATAGGCCTACGCGCACACACACACGCGCGTGCGCTGCGCGTTGTTTCAATTAAGCGATTTGGATATGAAATTTGTTGCAGTTGCCGCCGCTACTTGAGCTTAATAATTCAATGCATTTTAAATGAATCATTGTAATTGTTGCTGCTGTTGTTGTTGTTGTAAGTTATGCTGGCTGCATTTGTATGCAAATCCCCACTTGACTCATCGCCAGCTCGACATTGTGTCTGGCATTTGTTGAAAACTTTGCATTTTTGTTATATTTGTGAGCCCGTGTCTTGGGCGTGTTTCAAGCAGCCAACAACAATGGCCATAACAATAGCAATTACAACAACAGCTACAACAGATGGGCGAACAAAGTGAAAAAGATAATTGGCCCAAAGCACGCAAAGTTAGCGTCAAACTCTTGAAAGTGTTAATGGCGCTGTTAACGCGCTTAAATCGCGCATAGACAGCGATTAGCTGAGCTTCACTTACCTTGACTTATCTTTGCTAATCACTCTCTCTCTCTCTCTATCTCTTTCTCTGTCTCTAGATCGACATACAGCCACCAGAGCGAGAGACAATATTCTCAGAGGAATTCCGTCCCTCGGATCCGCGTAATGTTGGACCCTGCGGCGGCTTTAGCGCTCAATATGCCTGCATGTGCGATTTCCATGGCGTGCCCTATCGCGAGGAGGTGGCCTGGGATGTGGACACGATTTACCTGTCCCATGACACACGGCTGCTCAATCTGCGCGATTTCGATCATCTGGAGCCCAAGTGAGTGTTCAAGTTTTGGTATCTTTAACAGTTCTTGCATTCTGTTAACTCAATGTTAATGTTGACTAATACAACTGTTCATCCGTTACAGAGACTTGATGGCCATTGTCTCGGCCCTGGAGTATAATACATTTTTTCGTGGCTTAAAGGCGGCTCACATGCGTCTCTCCCATGAGACGCTGGAACGCATTCTGCACGTGCTCAAGCGCTCGATGTGGCTAGAGGAGCTGCATCTGGAGGCACTAGGTTTAAGGTGAGTATTCTCTAATATATAAAAGTGTGCGATCTATGCTAATCTGTTATTCTCCATTTCAGATGGGATTTCTTGAATAAGCTATCCATATCTGTGATTACGAACAGCAGTCCAGCGATACGCACCATCGATTTGAGTCACAATATAATCGAGGACAAAGGTGTGTAGCACAGTGAACACACGCTAGCGTGTACCAGACCTACCCGACCCACGAGCAGTCGAATTTATTATTAATCCAATTAATCCAACTAACTGCGTTTCTCTTTTACTCCTAACATATTAACAACATTTATTGTTTAACATTGTTTTCTTTTTCCGTTTTCTTTTCTTTTTGTTTAATGTTTTTTACAAATTCAATACGTGTGTGCGTGTGTGTGTGTGTGTGTGTCTGCATTTGTCATGTGTAGGAGCTAGCTCATTGTGCGCTCTACTGGGAAAGATTGTACAAGGTTTGCAGAATCCCCATTTGACACACATTTTAAAAACTCACTTTAGATAAATCGAACTCTAATTAGGTTTCAAAATTCAATTCGAATCACAATTAAATTTACATTTGCATTGTTGTTGTTGTTCAATGTTATTGTTAATGTTCATGTTAATGCTAATCGCTGTTTCATTTAATCATAATATGCGATATCATTTCCATTGTTAAAGTGCTTATGTGACCTTAACTAATTATGAATTGATGACTTGTGTAAATAAAATTCAAATACATATAAATTCATGCACTACTTAGCCCACCGCCTAAATATATTAATTCATTCATAATTTCATATTCATATTTCCTTCATATATTCCTCTTTGGCTACACTATGATGATCCTTTATCAGGAATTTCGCACTCACTCTTATATATTTGTATGATATATGAGTCTATATATAATGAATTTCTGTTAAAACATCTTACCGCATATTGTATTTAAAGTTTCTATGAACTAATATCACTTTTATAATATATCATGCTGAGAATTCAACTGAGAGTCAACTGAAATAGAATAGTAGACTCTATATATACATATACTTTATCAAATCGTAATCATTGTATGATATCAGGCATACTATAAACATAGCTCAGTACTCGCACTTCATATTCCATTTTAAATAATCATTGTAAATATTTATCTTCATACAATTCAAATGCATTTATTATATATCAATAATCTTTCTACGATCTATCAAATTCAATGTCCATATATCAGAGATCTTTCATACAAATAATATTATATATATATATATATCATATATCTTAGCCAAATTTTTGTCACATCGAAATTCTGGTCACATAAGCAAATTCATGGCAGTTCTCTCTCGCTCTCTGTCTCTCTATATATATGTTCATATCTATATTCACATTCTCATTCATGTCGCTTGCTTCACGCCTTTTGCTCTCTGTGTACATTCAAAATTCTTGATAGATTGGCAATGAAAACAAAAAAATTAAAAACAAATGCAAATTTCACTTTGATTTCTATATTAAATTGTTGATTTTTAATTGATTCAATACATTAAATTAATACAAATCTCTTTCATTCGATCAGGCGCTATACATTTGGCTGGACCCATTGCCAAGGTATCAAAGGGCCTCTGCAAATTGGCCCTCGCCCATTGTGGACTCACCTCGAAGGGTGTTAATCAGATGTCGCATTCGCTTTCGCTCAATCAAAGTATTCCCAACTCGCTCACCTATTTGGATCTGAGCGGTAACAGTCTCAAGGATGATATAACCGTAAGTAAAAGATATACATACATATGTATATAAATATACTAATATAATTTGATTGGCTTACAGAATTTGCACAATTTCCTGGCTCAACCAAATGTGCTGGAGCATCTAGATCTGGCATCGACTGATATTACGCTAGAAAATGTAAGTAATGCATAAATGTTATGATGTTAACAGCGCATGTTAATAAGAAAATTTGTTGGGGAATAATTTGTTAAAGGAAATAAATATAAGTAATGCATAAATGTTAAGGAGGAATATGTTAACAAGGAATATGTTTGGGAATAATTTGTTAAAAGAAATAAATATTTTACGAAATTAATGTTTTATAAACATTTTATGAATGTATATAAAATTTAAAAATGTATGAATTCAATTTATCCAATGTTAACAGAAGGGTTATTAACAAACTGCTGTTAGCTGTTTGATATAAAATACTCAATTTAACATTTTCCCCTTTTGATATCATTTGCAGTTGTTTGGAGCTCTGCTGCGAGGCTGTGCCACGCACCTGTCACACCTGAATGTCTCGCACAACTCGTTCAGCACGAAGAAGGGCAAAGAGATACCGCCGTCGTTCAAGCAGTTCTTTACCAGCACGCTGAGCCTGAAGCATTTGAACATAGCCGGCTGCAAGCTGCCAATGGAGGCGCTGAAGAATCTGTTGCTGGGCCTCGCCTGCAATGAGTCGACGGCGGGACTCCATCTCGATCTGAGCAGCAATACGCTGGGCGCTCAAGGTGCTCACGTTCTGGAGTCCTGCATACACGGCGTGCGTGTGCTCCAGAGCCTGGACATCAGTGACAATAGTAAGTGGATGAAGATGAAGATAAGACATATGATTCATATTGATTAATAATATTCCATTTCCTTTGCTAGATTTGGATGCGGAGCTGGCGCCTGTGCTGTCAGCCATATCGAAGAATCCTTCGATACGGTCGCTGCATTTGACGCGCAGCATGACGGGCATGAAACCCAAGCATATACCCACAGTGATGGATGCCCTAGTGAATCTCATCCAGAAGGATGATTTCCCACTGGTGGAGCTGGTGCTGTCGGAGAACAAGCTGAAGCACGATCTACACGACTTCATCAATGCCTTGGGCAGCAATCAGAGCCTGCAGAAGCTGGACATCAGCGGCAACTATATGGGCGATGTGGGTGCCCGACTCCTGGCCAAGGCGCTGCAGATCAATAATCGACTGCGCACCATTTACCTGGACAAGAACAGCGTCACCCTGCAGGGCTATGCGGATATTGTTTATGCCTTGGAGCATAATCATTGCATGCGGACGATTCCTTTTCCGGTATTTGATATAGCGCCGCATCTGAAGAATCATCCAGAGAAAACGGATACCGTAATGCGAAAGATGCAGGAGCTGCTACAGCGCAACTGCAACGGGCTGAAGCGTGCGAATGGCCAAGGATTTAGGCTGCAGCACGGCTTCATGCTCTCCTCCACACACCAGCTGGTGGACAAGCTGGTCGCTGAGACACAGGACACCCTCTCGATAGCCAAAGGAGGCGGCGACAATGTCTCGGCGGTGCAACGTCTGATCACAGATGCAGAGAACTGCAAGCAGCTGATGCCCAAACTGCAGGAGGCTGTGCGCACCGATGCGCATCCCATCGAAACGAAGCTGACCCGTGTCGCCAGCGAACTGAGCTACACGATTCGCAGCTATCTGGAGGAGACACTGGAGACAATGATACGCACGGGCATCGAGCAGTGCCCCAAAACGCTGGGCAATCAAATTGTTATACAAGATCTGCGCAAAGCGCTCAACGAGCGGCTCCAAATACCCGAAGATTTTCTGCAAAACTGTTTGCTCAACAATGCCGGCAGCGAGATTATGAACAAAGTTGGGTGAGTAAACAGAAGAGAAACCAGAGAAGAGCAAGGCCGACAGCAATGTGTGTGTGCGTGCGTGTGTGTGTGCTTGGGCGCCGCTGTGAGTCTGAGTGTGACTCAGTCAGAAACTGAGGCAGACAAGATGACGCGTTCATCAGTTAAATCTGATACTCTCACGCTCGCACACACATACACACACGCACTGTAATTGCAGAGCTACGCAATTTCGTTGCAAAATATTGATCAACAAACAAAGAAAGATATGTGGCGTTTAAAAAACATTAGTAACTCAGTATTAATTTTTATTCATTTTCGAAGTGTTTGACACAAAATTTTTTTTTAAATACGTTTTTTATATATAAATTGTACATATTTTTTTTTATAAGATTTTAGCAAAATTAATATGATACCAATGTCACATTAGCACGCTAATTGATATTATTCATAAGTGCACACGCCAAGAAAATTAAAATAATTCGTATTTAAAGAGAGACAAGTATGGCATTGAATTCATGACACACTTTGATAATGTTTCCGCCTCACTGTTCGATTTGCAGCTTACAAGTCTCTCTCATCAGTGCATAAAGGAGAAATAAAACAAAACTAAAAAAATGTAAAGAAAAGCTCGACTCCTCTCTAACAGCTGAGCTTGCCAATTTGTTGTTTTCAAAACACTGTGTACGCGCTCTCTCGCTCTCTTTATCTTGCTCTCTTGACGCTCACCCACACACACAAACACACAAACGCAATCTGTGAAATATTTTACTCATCGCCTGTTTCGGTGCGTGCATGTGTGTGTGTGTCTGAGCGCACAGATAAGATTAAGCAAATAACTTAACAGCTGAATGCATTTCCATTTGAAAGCCCAAACGGGTGCTGTCGCCCAGCTTACCAAAAAAAAATACTTACATAAAATACATTCACATTTTGTGCGCGAGTGAGCGTGTGCGCGTGTCCGTGTGCTTGTTTAACATTTGCTCCGCGGCAGCAAATCGAGTTGAGCCCAAGCTGCGCGTCGAGCAGCGCAGGCGAATTCATTGTCAGTTTGAGTGCCGTTAAGTTTGCTACAGTGCCAGTTAGTTAGTTCAGTTTTGTTTTGTTTTGTTCTTTCTGCTTCCTTGTTTTCTGTGTTGTGCGCGCTCCACCAGCTGTTCGCCGAGATGGGCCTGATGCGCAGATTGTGCTGTTGCTTTAGGGGCAACCCGAGCGCCGGTGAGAGCAGCGACTCTCGGCCAGCTTATAGCAAGTGTCCCGACGAGGATCAGGAAGGCGAAACTGCGACGCCAACAGTGTCGCCAAAAGCCACAAAGTAGATTAACCCCCACCAAAACCCCGCAATGTCAAACTTCCATAGCTAATGCAAATCTTTTGTCATCTCTCTTTCTCTTTTTTCGCTTGCGCAGTGAAATTGAGCAATCGCTAGCTGCTGCCATTTCGGATCGTGCTACAGATGAGGTGCTGGAGGCGCTGACACGCTATCGTCGCGGTCATGGCATATCGGAATCGCCATCGGTGTTGCTGGATGAGCCGCAGACGCCGGACATTGTTCGCAGTCGTTCCAGTCATGTAAGTAGCACAACCAAAAATCGATCGACCAATCAAACCCCCGACCACCGAAAATAGATAACAGCTTTGTTATCGTTGATTACGTTCAATTTAATAACAAATGTGATGTCATATTCAAAACTTTTTATGGCCTAAGCACTAGCATAAATATTTGGAGCGCTTTATTTGTAGAATTGCTGCCGTTTGACCCACAGGCGAATCTTATTTACTAACTTCCTACCTCTCTCTCTCTTTCGTTCTCTGCATTCCTGTAGGAAGCTGAGGGCCTTATCATACGACCCGGCGGACGTGGCTCGGTTTTGCCCAAACTGGGCCTGGAATCGCCCACTGTAAGTGTTGAAAATCTCTCGCTGCCCAAGTGGATGCAATAGCCTACAAAATAAATGCAAATTGCAAGTGCAAAAAACCAAACCCATTAAACATTAATAAGTGAATAAATGTATATTAATAACAATATATATACAAGTAGTGGAAAATAATCACAAATACACACACACACACACACACATACAAACACCCGCCGCAGGCTTATCGCAAAACTTAAGAAATGTGTGTATATAAAATCGTAAGAAAAAATTCTAGACGGGAGCGTATCTTATATCGTATAAATGTATACATCATGAAAACAAAATGCCAAACAGCTTAGAAAACACACACCTACACTCACACATACACACACACACACACACACACACACACACACACTCACACACATACATCTATGTGAAAAAAAAGTCTAAGAGAAAATGAAACAAAGACAAAGCTCATTATTTTTCTCTCTCGTGTTCTTCTCGTGTATCCTTGTATCATCCAAACTATTCATCAACAATCACAACAACAACAACAACAACTACTGCTACGCAACATCCAACATACGCTATAAACATATAATATACATTTTATATATATCCGTATAAATATCTACAACATATATAAATATATATCTATATTAAAACCTTATCTCCAACTCATTTACATAAAACAAAAAAATATATATTAAAAAATATATTTATATATATATATCACAAACTCTTAAAGAAATTGGAATATCTGAACCTTGTAAGTAGTTTTTTATGTCTTGTTCTATCTAAAAAAAAAAAACTATCCATACTTTAATTAGGAATTCAACTATCCTATTTTTATCTATCTATATAGAGCGGCAGCTGTCTTTAGTTTTAAAATGTTGAACTGAAAGTTTTATAATTAATTTTATTTTATTTTGTGTTTATAGTTTTTATGTATATGTATATTTTTTAATTTTAAACTTAAAGATTCATTTTGTTTATTTTATACTGATTTATTATTTATAATAATTGTATAATTTTTTATTTTTTTATTTTAACTGCATTTTTGTACTGATTATATTTATTTTTGTATAATTTTTTAAATTGTATTCTTTTTTTTTTATTATTATATATATTTTTTATTTATATATATTTTTTATTTATATATATTTTTTTTAACAGCTTGTTCGTTAATATAGAGCTATCACCGTATACCTCCTCACTACACTTTCTCTGTGTCCACCTTTTCCTGGTCTTTGTAGCACTGTGTGTATCTATTAGCAATATTTTTAGTTTTAAAAGTAGTTAATTTTATTTGTATTATTTTAAGTAATTAAATTTCCTGCTAAAAGTAAAACAAAAAACCCGCACATCCGCTCTCATCATTTCACACACATGCATATATCATGAACATAACCTAACATTATATACATCTATATAAATATATATAACTGATTCTCTGAAGAAATGCAACGGCTAACTGTTCTTTGTCTCTGCGCAGGCCACGCCACATTTGCCGTCGAAACGTCGCTCAATTGCCCGCAAGGTGCGTCCCCAATCGGTGGTGGAGAATCTCAGCTTGAGCCACATTCCCGATCTGCTGGAGTCGCCCTCGTCGCATCGTTCCAACTCACAGCTGACATCGCGTGGTGCAATTGGTGCCAGTGGAGCAGCAGCCGGTGGCGGCGTCTCGGCTGTCAACATGATGTCCAGCAGCATCAGCAATGCGGCCATGGATGACGGCAACGTGGATGAGGGCTGTGACTCCATAACGGAGCTGCCCAGTGCCTCGTTTCAGCTGCAGCATCTTGTCAAGGGACGGCCCAAGCGGGCCAAGACGCGTGCCCCAACTCGTCCGCTCGTGAATGCGGAATGCGCTGTCGGCGCAGTGCGAGACATTGGCGATGGCCTGGAGCATTTCTTTCGGCCCGGCTCGGTGACGCCCACAACGCTAACGCCTCTCGTGTCGCCCACATCCGAGGAGTGCAGCTCACTGTCATTCGTGGACAGCCCAACGATGAGTCGTGATGGCAACGGCCACATGACCTCAGAGGAGACAACGCCCATACTGGAGGAACGAAGGCCCATCAAACTGGAGCGCCAGTCGCCCTTGCTCAAGAGTAAGTGAGTCGCGAATCAAGTTTGAGAGATTTACTTACTTTTCTCTGTCTTCACAGGCGCCTCCTGGGCCACACGTTCGCGTTCCACGGACAATCTGGAGAAATATTCCCCGCTGGTGGGTCGCAAATCGCCGCTGGTCAAAATGCGCACAGAGGGCGGAGCAGGCAATGAGGAGGCAGCAATCGCAGCTGCACCCACTGGAGGTCTACTGAAGGCAGCCACGCGCGACGAGAAGATGCGCTCGCCCAGCAGCGACTCGATCAAGAGCCATGCAGCAGGTGCCAGCTCCCTGGCCGTAGGCACCGATGGCAGTCTGTTGGTGAAGACAGCCACCGGCAATGGCATCTTGCGCACGCCCATTGCGCTGCAGAAGCCGCGACCCTGGTCTGTAGTGGGCACCGAGCCGAAGGCCAACGAACAGCTGGCCACGGGCAACGGCAGCGTGGACTCCACCAAGACAACGCCGGATACGCTGGAAGAAGGTGCGTGATTAGTGGTTTAGTATAGGATTAGCCTAATTTGTGTACTTGCCTTTGCAGACGTGGAGGTGCTGCCCTTTGTTCAGGGCGCAGGCGGCTCCATTGTGGGCATAACCCCGGGCATTGCTTTGGCATCGGGCGGCAGCGGCGGTGGCAGCATTGTAGGCATTACGCCAGGTGAGCTGAGCTTGACTTAAAATTTGATTGAATCAAGTCTAAATCTTGGGCATCTTTGGCAGGCGCTGCTCTGGAGAAGAAGTCGGTGCGAGAGCTAGCCGCAGGCCTCAGTCGTTTGGGTAAGCATGAGTAGCCATAAATCCTGTTGCATGTCTGCCCGCCTGCCACACTTAGAGTGCAACCTGAATGCGTAGCTATATATAGAGATATATATTTTGATTTTATGTTTTCTTTATTTATTTTCATATTATTTGATTTGTGCTTGTTCCCTAAACTTGTCTTGTATTACCCAAACCACCAAAAAATCAACAATCAATATACAAAGATCTGCCCATCAAGCCGCCTATCATGCCACGAACTATGTTGAACACAGCCAATCGTTCGAGCAACATCAGCAACACCAGCAGCATAGGCAGCAACAACAGCACGATGACCACAACAACGACGACAGTATTAAACAATCAGACGCGCTCGAAGATCATCAGCACGAGTAGCACCAACACCGAGACGCAGGAGACGCTCAGCAAAACGATTATAACTGAGCATGGAAACACCAGCAGTAGCAGCAGCAGCAGCAGCAGCAACAGCAGCAATGCGCACAGCATCTCAAGCTCAAGTTCGAGCAACAGTCGTGCCATTGCCTGTGCGAATCTGATAAGCAATGAGATTCTGAGCATGCGCAACGGGCAGCTGAACAAGACGAACAGCTGCGCTGAGAGCAGTACTAAGAGAATTGCCGGCAAAGAGATATCCACGCTATTCGAGGTTTGATGGGATTAACTATGTCAACGTCAGCTCAGCATGAGCATTATCAACGCGTCTGTCTCTGTGTGGTGCAGCTTCTGGCTTTTACATTGTTCTTGTGGCTCTTAAATGTTCTTCCATTTGTTGCCTGGTGCTCATATTCATTTAATATAGTTTTTGTGTTTTATTTGTTATTAAGTATTGCTTGTTTTGTATTAGTCTAGCTGTAGGGCATGTATATATGTTTGTGTTTGATGTATATATATATATATATTTAATCGAGATCCACATCCAATTTCAATTCCACAGGAGACATTAGTTGAAGGCCTGCAACGCACCTCGACGAGACGCACGTTTAGAGACTCGCCCTATACGAAAGAGGATGTCGTTGATTTATAAAAACTGTCTATTATATATAGTATATATATATATATATATAACTCAACATTCCTCCTTGATATCCCCGATTTCCCTTCGAAAATCACCAGACTTCAAGTTATAATGATAATGTTTATGATAATAACGGTAAAGATAATGAGCAAAACGGTTGCAACTATTCGTACTGAACAATTTAATTAATGTGCAATGGCGCCAGCATGTATATGTGTGTGTGTGTGCGAGTGTGTAAGTCTGTCAGCGAGTGTGCATGTGTGTGTGTGAATTTGTTTTATCTTTTATTTTAAATTTTGGCAATTTTCAAATGATCGTGATTTATTTATTTATACTTTTTATCCCAAATAAACATTTTGCATATATTTATAAACAAAAAGAAAAACTAAACTAAAGGAAAAAGTGGAAGAAACCAACGTTTTTTATGTACTATATTTTTATGTATTTTAAATGAGTTAAGTGCCAATTATATACAACAAAACAAATCTATTTTTCAATTTGTCTATTGAAAACTAAAAACAAAAAAGAAACCTAAAAGATTACGAAGGAACTAACGAAGCAAACGCAATGAATATTCTGATAAAAATATATATATAAATATTTATATATAAATAAAAATATGTAAATCGTTTGCGTGCATAAAAACTAATTTAAATGAAATATAATATTTTTTATAAATGCTTCCAAAATATCTATATCTATATAAATATATTGTTTTTATTTAACCATTATTGATTTCGTATGAACGACAATCTGTTTCGATTTAAATATACATATTTTAGGTTTCATTTTTATTTAATTTTTAAAAAGTTAACAAACTAACGCTAAGCAACTAGGCAGAAAAACAAAGGAATAATAAAACAATTACTAAAAATGCATTTAATAAATTATAGTGAGAAATACACAGAGATATTCTCTGCATCAATTTACAACTTCAAACTGGACACTTGTAGTTTGCACTGAATATTAACAAATTAAATGTTTATTAAAAGCATTTCAATTCAATCCACCACCACCGAACCGCAAATACGCTTCGATTTTAGAAGTGTTTCCCCCCCATTCAAATAGTTGGCTCAAATATGTAGTTGCCATTCAATTCAAGGACAAAAACGAAAACGAAATAATTGTATCGTGTTCATTAAAGTTTAAGCATTTGCAAATTTATTGTAATGTATTGAAATTCAAATTAAAATCAAATCAAAAGTACTCGACTTGCATTTTCGATTTCATTCTGATAAGTACGGTTTGTATCGATAACTTTTCAAACTATTTTCGATTTTTACATCGAGCTGCTTGTTTTTGGTAATTTCTTATTCGCGAAAGACGGCCACACTACATTACCAACTCGCGTCGGCTTTCGCTGTTCTTTGTGGATTAAACTAAAAAAAGAAAAAGAAAAAATTGCAATAGCATTTATATTTTTGTTGCAATTAATTAACTGCCTGCCCTGCCGAGATGGTTAAACTAACGCCGGAGTTGATAAACCAGTCCATGCAATACATAAATCCATGCCGTGAACGCGAGCTCGATTTGCGCGGCTACAAGATTCCACAGATTGAGAACTTGGGTGCTACATTGGATCAGTTCGATACGATTGATCTCTCGGATAACGATCTGCGCAAGCTGGACAACCTGCCACATCTGCCACGACTCAAGTGCTTGTTACTAAACAATAATCGCATCTTACGAATCAGTGAGGGCCTGGAGGAAGTTATCCCAAATCTAAGCTCTATCATACTGACGGGCAACAATTTGCAGGAGCTGAGCGATTTGGAACCGCTTACAGGATTCAAGAAGCTGGAGACCATTTGTCTGCTTATCAATCCGGTATCCACGAAACCAAACTACCGCGAGTATATGGCCTATAAGTTTCCACAGTTGCGTCTGCTGGACTTTAGGAAGATCAAACAGAAAGATAGGCAACAGGCACAGGAGTTCTTCCGCACCAAGCAGGGCAAGGATATGCTCAAAGAGGTGTCTAAAAAATCGAAATTAAGCGCCGCCGCTGCACTGGCAGCCGAGGCAAGCAACGGCAAGGCAGCAGCTGAAGGCGGACGCTTTGCCAATCCTGAAGATATGCAACGCATACGAGAAGCCATCAAGCGAGCGAGCTCCCTGGCGGAGGTAGAGAGACTGTCACAGATCCTGCAGAGCGGCCAGCTACCAGACAAATTTCAGCACGAATTGGGACAGAATGGGCACAACGGAACTGCAGCTGTGCCGACTGTAGATATGGATTACTGAATTTGAATCTAGATCTAGCTCTGTCGTCAGCTACCTTGTTAGTGTAGAATAATATATATTTTAATAAAAGTAGAGTCAGCGTACAGTCAAATCTAAGTAGATATCTTCTATGTTTATTATTATTCATCGATCTCAACAGGTTGCTGACTTTGTGTATTTTTCACAGAAAAAATCTCAAATTCGCAATACAACCAGCGATTATTTGTAAATATTTAAATCAAATGCACACATAATTTACGTAATTCGCTAAAAAGGTTTCAACAATTTACAAACGGACAAAATAAGTATATTTAAGTTGGGCAATTAGTAAATATGCTTTGGCTCTGCAAAATGCATTTGCGGGAATAGCATTTGGACTCTGGAATTGGTTATTGTTATTGCTTGTATTGCAGTGCGGTCTTTCTCCTCTCTTCCTTTTCCTCTCCCATTGATGCCTGCCTCTGGTTTTCATTGATATGGTTAGTATTATGAGTTCTTCGTGGCCATTATTGTGTCGTAGTGCAGTCCTGTGTAGAAGATGATCCACGTCACTAAAAAGCCGGCAAACGATGTCATAAAGCCCTCCTTCACTAGTTCCCACACACCGCCATAAGCATCCTCATCCACGTTTTGGAAGTTTATGGCATACAGGTAGACAACGCCACAGCTAATGCCGGCAAAACTGCAATAGAATATGTTTTATTTATCTACAGCACGTTCTATATTTAGGCGCTGGCTCCACTTACAGTACGAGGCCCAGAAAGCCTTTTAACGGCACTATGCCCCAGATGATGCCGAGTATGATGCCAAATACCTGACGTGACCAGTAGATAACATCTAGAAATTCGTCCTGTAAATGTCAGAAAATTATAAGGGTACACAAAAAAAAAAAAAAAAAACGCGCTGCTCTTTGGATATCTCACCTTGTCTTCCCATTCGGATTTTGTCATTGCTCGCGCGCAAATTTCACGAAGCGACGAGGATTTGGTGGTGCCATTGGCATTGCGTTCAATAGTATTCGTTCTGGTTGCCATTTTTTATGTGACCTACTTTTTTAACTAATGCTTTCCACTCACTTAAAATTAATTAAAATTTTTCACTATCAGTATGGCTATGCCGATATCATTTACAAGTTGTATTACCGATAAATTTGCCTAATCATTAATAGAACAGCTGTGGAGTTCGCTCACGCTCGCTCCAATGAACTAAAATCACTCGCACATTTTGTTCACATGAATCTTATTCCATGCAACTCTGATGTGGTTATGTGAGCGTGTTTACACTTTGCTAAATACAAAAATGTTAAAATTAAGTACGCTCTGCCTTATAAATCCCGCTTTAATCACTGGTAAGTAGTCCATAGTATATATTAATATACAGTTTTATTACAAAAAACTGACTTTCATCGCATAACAGCACAGCGGCATGTGGCCCTTAGTGCCGTACGCTGCGTCGATCAGGGCTGGCGAGCGGCAAAGGGATTACCCGAGAATCCAAATGCATTTGGTCCACTCACGAATTTGCCGGATTACACATACCTGGACGGCAGACCAACCCCACTGGGCGTAAGTATCTAAGAAAGTATTATAAATTATAGTCTAACTCTAATTGTTTTTCAGTCCAATCAGCATAGGCGCCTACTGAAGCAACAGGAGATTGCTGCCAAAATTGTGGAGCTCAGCAGCGAATTAGATTTTGCGAAGGAGCGCCACGAACGTCTTAAGAAGCAGGCCCAGGCTGAAAAGCAGCGCATTATACAGAATAAGCTGAAACCCAAAGGACATCTATTGTTAAAGAAGAAATAATTCTGTTAACTTACCGTTAACCTTAAATGTAAATTAACTTTAATGTTATAATATTTCTATTACATAGACATGATTGTTGATCGGCTAATGCTTCACTCAAAACGTGTTTATTGTTTTTATTTATTTTTTATTAAATTTCAAGTTCATTACGCGGTGGAAGACGTAAACACCGCTTAAATGAATGGTAATTAAATTTGAAACTCAAAAAGTTCTTATGACGCGCTCTATCTGGGCAACAACCTGTCGTGCCAATTAGATTGTCTATCTCTCAACGCATGTGACATCTAGAGTTCTCACTTTAAAAGAGAGTATCTCATCTGTCACGTATACTTTCTTTATATAATATTAAATGTAAATACGGAAGTATACATATACACATCTCTATCGATAGTAAAAACGTTCACCGTCCGGCTCAATACGCAGCACTTGAATATCATTCAAAGATAGTGCTGGCTGATCATAAGAATCACGTCTTGAAATGTTTATATGCATTATAAATTACCAGCTTAACATTTGCAAAGCTTTCAATGCTTACATTCCCAAAGTCGGTACCGATTCTGACTTTCAGCTCACATTGTAATCAATAAGACGTGAAATATTTAAAATAAAAATTCAGAACAGCTGAACAGGTGTACGAATCACAGGTAGAGCTTTTGATAGACTGCAAATATTGACCTCTTAAATAGCTAGCATATAAGAAAGAGCTAGACATTATATTTTTCACATTATATTTGCAAATTAATTAGAACTTTAATGTGCTATAATTAAATATTGATATATTTAGTTATTTATTTACGATCAGAGACGCTGCCGAGCAGTCCAGCAATGCATGAAGGAAATTTCCCACCAATTTAGTACAGACAAACAGCAATAAGTAAGGCGGCAGATGTATAAAAGTCTTCAGCATTCGAATTTATTGCAATTAATTAGCTGAAAGATACGAAAAGTCTCACAACAAGCTGAAGAATGAGAAAAGCAGACAAAATAATAATATTCGTACTCTCACTTGGAGTAGGTGCTATATTTTGCAATGCAGATCTTGGGTCGTTGGTTAGTAGAAACGTGCTTTGAAAACGTGCGATAATAATGTCGTTGACCAAATGCCACAAATTAGTAAAATAGCTCTTTAATTTGAGCCACTCATTTACCCCCGCTGTAAGCCAGGGCGTATACGTGATAAACATTGAAATGTTTCTCTGCTAGATGCACTCGGCGCATGCTTAATGTTTTTTAAAAATACATATATTTGCGACGTTTTTACGCCTTTATCTACGAGCTTACAGTGGTTATTTTTATTTGAATTGTACAATTTCACAATCAATATGGAGCAAAAATATTTACAATTGCGTCGTTTACTTATGAGAAGCTATACACTTGAATATATATAAATATTGTTGAAAACACATTCGCTGTTGATTGACTGATTGTTGTTGTTGTTTACAAGTATCACTTATATTATTTACTTTTATGCCAGCGACATTTTAATATAATTAGCACAATTATATTTATATTAAATGAAATCAATTTACAAAACAGAAAATGTTAGTTGTAATAAAAGAAACCGGAATACATTTTTATTAAACAAGACTGCAAAAGAGGGGTAAAGATTTTATGAGACTTTAAGGTAACTTTAAGCACTTACCTATAATTAAACAAAAAAATTAAAAAATAAAAGTTTTAAAATTGAGAGAACGGATAAAAGTTATTTGTGCTCAGGTTAAAATGCGTTGTTTTGCCGCACTTCTCTAATCATCAAGCTGTGGCCAGTCAAGATAATTATAATACATTGTTTTTTTCATCTTACCCCATCATAGCTTAAAGTAATAATAAAAAATGTACCTATGAATCATTGTGGCTATTTTAATTATGACTATGTACATGCTAATCTATGGCTATTTTTAAATGTCTGTACCATGAATATCCTATAAATATCTAAATACATATATGTAACCGCAAAAAAAAAAAAAATTCCACAAATTAAGATGATTTAAATTGTCTAGCAGCGACAATTTTCATGCTCATGGGAATTATACAAATTCCCCACACAAGCTAAACTTAATTAAAGAATAAACAAGTCATTTCAAGTTGTCAAGTCTTTCCGCATTGTTAAAAGTTTTCCAAATGAAACTAGAATCGCGCACGCGGCAAATCGAGTAAATCAATTAGAGCCTGGACCACAGTGTGAATCATGAGAAGATATCGCGACGCATACGAATCGAACCGGCTGCTTAAATCAAAGAGATCGCAGAGTGACAGAAAATTGCGTCATAACATAGCGGGCAAGTGAAAATATAATTAAAAGCAATAACAATAACAACATATTTATATTTTCACATTTGGGTGCGAAGAGGCGCACTGAGTATTTTTGTATATAAGTGTGTGATTCTTTGGAGTTAAGCATACAGAACCCAAACAGCAAACGTTCCAAGCATATCTAGCAACTCAAGGATAAACACTGAAAGGATAATGGAGTTGAACGTAAGCATACCTATACCATATTCTTTGTATTTAATATATTTTATATTATATCGTTCATTCACAGCAAATTTATAACTGGTTAGGCCTGTTGCTCAGCATCATGATCTGTAAATTAACGCAGTGCCATGCCAAGCCCATATATTACGATGTGGACAGCTATGAGAGTGGGTATGGACGCAGCTACGATCACAAGAGTTACGATAACTCATATGCCTACACCTATGGCAAGCCCCTTACATCGGATCATATTGATAAGCTAAACACCGGGTACTACTACGTGGACAATGGCTATATAGCGCCTGTGTCCAGCTCGTTTGCCTCCAGTCAACGCAGTCTCTATCCATATAGTAGCGGCGAGCTTTCGGATAGCTATAAGTACTCTCCGATCCTGCGCTATAGAAAGTCGCGCACAAAGCGCAAGAAGCTCTTCGTACCCAACTTCTTTGGCTAAGCTGATAAAGATGTTCTGGCCAAGAGAGACTACAGACTGATTCTGAATATTGTTACATTACAATGTTATCAACAAGTACCTTATCAAAATTAGACTAAGAATAAAGGTTTTTAAAAAATATAATTCAAAGTATTTTTGAAACAAATTTTAGATTTAAAATTCAATTAAAATAGTTTTACTTTATAAACAAATAACTTAGAACACAAACTCGCATACTTCCTTATACATTGTATCTATAATCTCCTACACTGTAAACTCTTATACAAATATTTGGATTAGATTTTGGGTTCAATTATGTAAACTAGCATAATCATAGTATTATTTAATCAAATTGTTAGTGGAATTTGGCGGCTTAGTGTTAATCAGCAAATAACTAGCATCAACTTTTTTTACATAAATAAAATATATAATTTATAACACTTATACAATGTTTAATATTTTTCTTCTTATAGAAATATAATTTCAATTAAAATTTCAAAAATTATATTTTTATATACTTCATTCAATTGTTTTTCATTTAAAATAATTTTAAAAATGTACTTTTATTTTCTGTTAAAATTACAAATCCCATTTCTGTTAAACTGAGGAGCAAATATGTTATATGTTAACATAGATATGTTAAAATCAAGAACAGCAACCAGTAGATGCAACAAAAAAATACTAAACCATATTGAGACAGCTGTTAGCTGTGCTGTCGTCATTTGCAGAGGAAGAAGAGGAAGAGAAATTCGCGTCTGAAAAAGTGTAAATTGGCTTTCCAAAAGCAAGATGAGTTTCATGCAACCAAGTCCCGTGAAATACGCCTGCTCATGTGGTATTCTGAATCCGATTAATAAACTCTTCTTCTGTCGCCATTGTCCGAAGTTGAGATGTGGCTTCTGCGTTTGCCATGAGATTGAGTCACACTTCTGTTCGAACTGCCTGGAGAACATTCCATCGTCGGAGGCCAGGCACAAAAAGAACTGCTGTGCCAACTGCTTTGACTGTCCTTGCTGTCAGCACACGCTCTCCGCGAGGGCCACCACAGTGCCAGTTGTGCGCAAAACGGAGGAGTCGAAGGACGGGGAAAGTGCAACGGAAGCCACACCCAGTCCAAAGCCCTCGGCGATGCCAACGACAAAGAAAATGTATTATTTGTCTTGTCTGTCCTGCCGTTGGACTACCCGTGATGTGGGCATACCCGATCAGGGCGTAGCGACGGGCACTTGGCCAGACAAGGAATGCCTTTACCAGGTGCGTTTCAATACCTTGATGGAGTATTATCAATCGCTGGTACTGCAGGAGAAGCAAGAGAAACAAGAGTTTCTGCGCCGCAAGACGCCCAAGCAGCACAAGTTTCCCAGTCTGACCGATCGCACAGGCCTCACAGTCTCATTAATACGTCGCCAGATCGGCTGGAGTGATAAAAACATACCGAAGACAAAGCCCATCAACATAGCGGCCGCTGAGGCCACTGCAGAGGTTGAGGCTTTGCCAGAGGACATCTTCACGCAGCCCATTAATCTGCGTAACATCACAACGGTGGCTCAGCGGCACAGTCAGCCCGCCGAGCAGCCCGAGGCTGTGAGTAAGCTCTATCCACAGCGTCGTTCGCTGTGGATCAAGCGTTCGCTGCGCTGTCGTCAGTGCGAGCACAATCTGATCAAGCCAGAGTATCATCCCACATCCATCAAGTATCGCATACAGCTCTTTGCGAGCTACCATGTGCCGGAGGTGCTCATGGTGCGCTGTGAGCAGCCGCTGCAGCCTGGCCAGGCAAATGCGATATTCCTGAAGTTCACAAATCCCACAATGTACGATATGACTATAAGTGTATTGGATGTGGCACCGCAGGACGCTCAAATCAGTCCGGACACATTTCAGCAGGCATGCCGCATCAAAGAGGAGGCGGTCACATCATCGCCGCTGCTCAAAACAACGGGCATCACTTTGGCCCGTCAGAACTCGATTAGGGAAGTGAAACGTGATGTGCGTGAATTGACGAATGCAACAATTGTACCACTTGAAGGTCCATTTGTGCTGAACCAACGCGATGATTCCAAGGAATTCGACGAGGATGTCCAGGCACCCACCGAGGAGCCCAAGTTCATAGTTTGGCGCAAGGCCAACAAAGTATTAATTCGTCTCGAGTTTACTCCTGCAGCTGAGCTGCAGTCGGGCAACACTGTCACTCTGGGCTTCTACATGCAATATACGTACGTCAACACCGTGTCCAATACGCCCGACAAGAAGGAGCCGACTACACATGCTCTCTATTCAAGGATTTTCATCGAAGCTGGCGACATAGCTAATGCAATAGCCAATTAGTCCAAAATCTTATCAACATTGAAAACGACCTCTAATCATGCTAACCCCATATTATATTGAAATGTATTTATGCAACTAATTTAATGGAAAAACTGTGTTAACCCAGGCACCTCCTGCATCCACTCGTAGTATGCTAAATAAACGCCTATGCTCCAATTCAAATCACCTTTGGCGCACCTGTCCATTTTATGCTCTCCTGCCACAAGAACTCTGCAACATTCTCGTCGTGGGCAACTTTCGCCACATCCTTTGGCTTGCAGTCGCTGAAGTATTGCCCAGTGACGCCATCCAAGTCGGGATCTATAGCTGCATAGATTGTGGTTTGAGCTCCATTCTTGGGAGTCTTCAGGAATAGCCAAAATAGCGGCTTGATCGTCTTAAAACTGTAAGATATACATAGTTAGGTATAATATTATATAAACTATGTAAGTATGCAATTGAATTTTTTAAATACCTTAAGAAGCGGTTTTTCTCAATACTATAATTAGTCAATATGTCCGTATCCACCACGCCGGGATGCAAGGCATTGACGGTCACGCCTGTGCCGGCCAAGCGCTTGGCCAACTCTCGAGTAAACATGACGTTCGCCAATTTACTTTGATTGTATGATGCACGTCCGTCATAAGATTTCTCGAGATTCAAGTCGTCCACGTTAATTTGGCCCATGGTGTGTGCCAAACTGGAGACATTTACAATGCGACTTGGCGCTGATTTCTATAAGATTAACCACTCTATATTATAATATAAAATCATATTAAGTGTCGTATACTCTTACCCTCAGCAAATCGAGCAATAGAATTGTCAGCAGAAAGTGACCCATATGATTGACGCCCAGCTGCATCTCGAAGCCATCCTGTGTGAGACGACGGGTTGCACAGTAGGCGCCCGCATTGTTGATGAGAATATGCAGTTGATTCTGCTCGGCCTTGAAGCTAATATTACACAATAATACATAATAATTACAGTTTTATCTGGAATAAGTTTCGCTGCTCACTCACTCTGCCACAAATTTGCGCACTGATGCGAGCGAGCTTAGGTCGAGTTGAAGGAAGAATACGTTTTGGTTATTCGTCTCCTTGATGATTTGCTTGCGCGCCTCCTCTGCTCGATGCTTATCCCGGCAGGCCATGTAGACCGTTGCCCCCCGGCGTGCCAGCTCCAAGGCAGTCTCCTTGCCAATGCCTGCATTTGCGCCGGTTATAATTACGATTTTCCCCGTTTCATCAGTTTCCTTTGTGAATTGGCCACCCTGCATGTACTGTCTAAGATAATATAACTATCAGCTATAGTTAATATGCAATCTATAGCCAATTAACCTGATAATGTGACCCGCAAGAGCGACGACTGTTGGCCATATTATGAACGGACTGAGTAGGCAATCGATGAATATACACATTTTTTTACCTTGAAGGCCTTCACTGGGCCAAGTCCAAACATTAACTAACTCCGAACTGCTTGAATTTCGACATAAGTACGAGCCCAGTCGATAACGTTCGCAATCAGTGCACAGTGGTTGCGCTTATATGAAAAATACTTCCCGTAAAGCTAGAGTGCTGAAATTTGTTTCTGGGTATTAGAGATGTATTTGGATGGCAAAAAGTAAGTATAGGGAAAAAATGTACTGAACACATTTCTTTAAAATAACATAAATAATAATAAATGATAAACATAAATAAAATAAAGTAAAGCCGCTCTCGAGCAGGAGATACCCTGAACCCCAGGACGCAACCACTGTGCGCTGTTCAGTGAACAGATAAATAGTAAAGTGCGAGATAATAATAATAAGATAATAGCTCTTACACACACATATACACATATATATTACATTCCTATATGAAACATTTATTTATATCTAAAAATGTACAATAATATCTTCTAATCTAATTTCCTGGTGTAGGTCACTCTCACGCTCTCTTCCCAGAGCTGCTTGGCGGTCTGGTTATCCATTGCAGCGGGCGCTACCTTCTTCTCTTTGCAATCGCTGAAGTAGACGCCAGACACTTTTTCCAAATCTGGATCGAGAGCTGCATATAGTGTGGTCTGAGCTCCGCTCTTCGGTGTCTTCAGAAGTGGCCACAATAAAGTTCTGAGCACAATGCGTCCAAATGTGCCGTTCAGTATCTTCATGTGCCTGCCCAGCTCAGTGTCCACAACGCCCGGATGCAGAGCATTCACGGTCACTCCAGTGCCCTCGAGGCGTTTGGCCAATTCACGTGTAAACAAAACGTTGGCCAGTTTACTCTGGCTGTAGGCAGCGCCCGGATCATAGTCCTTCTCGCTGTTCAAGTCGCTGAAATCAATAAAGCCACGCGTGTGGGCCAAGCTGGAAACGTTGATAATACGGCTGGGTGCACTTTTCTGTGGCAAATCAAGTTTCAAATCAATAAATTGAAGACCCTCAATATTGTATATATCTAACAAGTTTACCTTTAGCAAATCGAGCAGCAAGTTGGTTAGCAGAAAGTGGCCCAAGTGATTCACTCCCAGCTGCATTTCGAAGCCATCCCTGGTTACCATGTAGGGGCAGCGCATAACACCCGCATTGTTAATCAGTATGTGCAGCTTGTCTTGCTCCTTTTTGAACCTGATAAAAACATAAGTTTAAAATCAAATTATTCATTACAAATTCAGTAAATGCTTACTCAGCCGCAAATTTGCGAACGGACTGCAGAGATGCCAGATCGAGTTCACGGAAGAATATATTCTTGTTGTTGGTTTCTTCTATAATTTCGAGACGTGCCTTCTCTGTTTTAGTCTCATCCCTGCAAGCCATATAAACAGTGGCGCCACGTCTGGCCAGCTCCAGGACAGTCTCCTTGCCAATGCCAGTATTTGCGCCAGTTACAATCACAACTTTGCCGGTTTCATTAGTCTGCTTGGTGAACTGCCCGCCTTGCATGTACTTTCTGGAAAACAAAGAACAATTCGTTATGAATGATGTACATATATTAAATGTTTACATACATATTATCAATTAGCACTGATTATACCTAAGAAAATAGATACCAAGGCCAAAGAGTGCGGGCCAGGCGATGCAGAGGCACGAAACAGAATCATTTAGAGACCACATAATTGTTTAAACAAATTATTAACTACTCGTCGCAGAGGCAGTCCGAACACAACTGATGTGAATGCTACTGCGTATAACGAATGTGAGTCAACGATTTCGCCTGATAAACCGATGACAAGCACGTCGCGCCTACTAGATGCGAGAAATGTGAGCTCAAGCATACAATAATGTTGAAATCGATCGATATACAAATTTATTATGTACACTTAGAATGAAATAATAAGAATGAAATTATACTACATTCTCTAAAGGGTAACTGCATTTTATTTAGTCTTAACATCCAGTATCTCTGCACGTGTCCACTTCTCACTAACGGCCCAGAGCCATTTGGCGACTTGAACATCGGTTGCTGCAGGCGCCGGCTCTTGAATCTTGCAGTCGGAAAAATAAGCACCGCTTACGTTTTCCAAGTCCGGATCGAGAGCAGCATATAAAGTAGTTTGTGCCCCGTTGCGCACAGTTTTCACAAATGGCCAAAACAGGGGGCGAACAAATAAGCTGCAATTTAAATGAGTTATCGAACTGAGAATCCAACTTTAGCAGTTTAATTCCATCGATATATACCCTGCAAAGAAGTTGCTAAAGAAGCTCATGTGTCTGAAGATATCGGTGTCCACTATGCCAGGGTGCAAAGCGTTCGCCGTGACTCCAGTTCCCTCTAAGCGGCGGGCCAATTCCTTTGTAAACAAAACGTTCGCTAACTTGCTCTGATTGTAAGCCTTAGCCTCATCATAGGACTTTTCACTATTCACATCCGTCATGTTGATTTCACCGCGGGTGTGCGCCAGACTAGAGACATTTATAATGCGGCTGGGAGCCGATTTCTATAAGATAGGTGAATGTAACTACCAGTAGAACATATCCGCGTAAATGCTCATACCTTAAGGATGTCTAGCATTAAGTTGGTCAGCAGAAAGTGACCCAAGTGATTGACACCCAGCTGCATCTCAAAGCCATCAGCGGTCAGCGTGCGCGGACAACGCATGACGCCTGCATTATTGATGAGTATGTGGAGCTTCTCCTGCTCCCGCTTGAAACTGCAAGGAATCGACATTTGCTTAGCGCTTGCTCGAATTCAACAGGTCAACAACAGATGGGACCTACGTGGACACAAAGTTACGTATGGAATCCATGGAAGCTAAATCACATTGACGGCAATACACATATTTGTTTTTCGTCTCTAGGACAATCTCCTCCCGTGCTTCTTCGCACTTTTTCATATCCCGACAGGCCATATAGACTGTGGCTCCCCTCCGTGCCAGCTCCCGCACAGTTTCCTTGCCGATGCCCGTGTTGGAGCCGGTCACTATAACGACTTTGTTGCTTTCATCGGTTTCTTTTGTGAAATTGGTGCCTTGCATAAGATCCCTTCAGGTGGCAAATATTTTTGGTAGTTTTTATCATATAATGACTTAAACGAATGGCAACATACTTTACAAAACAAGCGCCACCCACTGTGGTTCCAGCGACGCTCAGCCAGAAAACTGGGCGACTCTTCAGAAATGAAAAAAACGACATTTTATACGCGGCTATAATAAATAAACACGGGTGTGAATTCTACGCGCTATTGTGCATGGATGTGTGTTCTCGATGTCCATGGGTGTACCGGCGTTAAAATACCCTGGGACGAACGAGGAGCGCGATGAGGAGCTGTTTATTTGCCACATTCATCGCGAAATCAAGCAATTACTCTGTTCAAATATTCTTAATAAACATTGTTGTTTAAAAAACCAACATCTTTGTAATGAGATGGCGTGTTGAGCGTATTGAAAAGAGCTGTTTAAAATGCATGCCCTTTGTGTTTCAGTCTAGGGTATTAGGCCCAGGGTTGCTACTTATTCGACTTTATAAATTCAAATTTTAATAATTATACTTACTTAATAAATGACACTATCAGAGCTATACCCACGAACCAAGCCACACACGAACAAAAAATATTGCCAAGAATTTTAATCATCTTCAGAAATTTGTTTGGGGACTTTTAAGCGCAAATTAAAAACAATCTCTTCCTCTTTGTTTAAATTAAAATAAAAGAACAGGGCGTTTCAAGTGCACACAAATTTGTCAGCCAGAGACGTGGGTTTGTTGTGTTTATTCAATAACAAAATTTTACGTAAATAAAGTAAACGTTTGCTGGCAGCACTGTTCACGAATATACAATATTGTCTGCTATTTGAGAGTTGAGTGACAGTACAGTCAGTGCCAACGGAGACGCACTCAATAATAAACAATAAATCCAAAATATAATGCGTCGAAATGTGTAAGTCAACGCCAACTCGACTCGATTCGAGCCGATGTCTGCTGCTTATGAGAATCAGCGCATGTTTCATATTCCATATTCCGTATTTCAGGCGCCAGCAACAGTATAACTGGGAGAATGCGAAGTCAGACGGTATGGATGATATATATGCCGCGCCCGCTATCGACGATGCATTTATGGAAATGGTGCAGTTTGCACACGGATCTGGTAACGGCCACACAAAGATGCCGCGCTCAGAGAACACTTTGGAGGTAAAAGTTCAGGAGGGAGACACATTGCAAGCATTGGCGCTGCGCTTTCACTGCTCTGTGGCAGACATCAAGCGCTTGAACAAGATTGATCGGGACAATGAGATACACGCACATCGAATTATTCGAATTCCAGTTACAGTGCACAACGTACTGCTTGGGGCAAGTAATGCGGATGCACTGCCTGCCGTTCATCGTAGCGGGAACAATAGTCCCAGGCACAATCTTGACCAAGAACCGGCCATTGAGCGCAATCCACTGGAGGATGCACGCGTGATGCTGGATGAACGCCTTTTGGTGGCTGCTGTGAATGCTTCTGGTACTGTAGCTGGCGAAGTTGCAGCATCAGTTCGAAGGGATGGCAGTAAATTCTATGATGCCAGATCGGGCTATCCAGATGATGAGGGTGAGTCTGTTATTTATTTTTTGTGATAAGGTGGCTGGCATTTAGTTATCATATATTTAAAAATTCCAATGTAAATGCGTTTAACAGCTCTTAAAGCTGGCCAACCAAGCAAAGTAATTTTGCATTTGAGTCGCCCTGTATATATGTTAAGTCTTCTGTTAAGTAAGCAGTGAAGTTGGGCGCAGGCAGCAATTTGTTTAGTCATTGGAAATACGGCCACACTCGCCACTAAAAATTGCCAGAAAACAGAAGCGTTGGCGACAAAAAACATATAAATTTATTAAATATTTCGCTGTTGAACAACTAAAACAAAATGCCGGACTATCTGGGAGATGATCAGCGTAAAGTTAAGCATGACGAGAATAAGGAGGATAAGGAAATTAAGTCGCTAGACGAAGGCGACATCGAACTACTTAAGACGTACGGGCAGAGCCAGTATCACAAGTCCATAAAGAACATCGAAGAGGACATACAAAAAGCCGTGAAACAAGTGAACGAGCTAACTGGCATTAAGGAGAGCGATACAGGCTTGGCTCCGCCTGCTCTGTGGGACTTGGCTGCCGACAAGCAGATACTCCAAAATGAGCAGCCTTTGCAGGTTGCGCGTTGCACAAAGATTATCAACGCTGACTCAGATGATCCCAAGTACATTATTAATGTCAAGCAGTTTGCCAAGTTTGTGGTAGATCTGGCTGATTCCGTTGCACCTACGGACATTGAGGAGGGCATGCGTGTTGGCGTTGATCGCAACAAGTATCAGATTCACATACCGCTGCCACCCAAAATCGATCCTACGGTGACGATGATGCAGGTCGAGGACAAGCCAGATGTCACCTACAGCGACGTCGGTGGCTGCAAGGAGCAAATTGAGAAATTACGTGAAGTTGTGGAGACACCGCTGCTACATCCTGAAAAGTTCGTCAATCTGGGTATTGAGCCCCCCAAGGGTGTGCTCTTGTTCGGTCCACCTGGTACGGGCAAAACTCTATGTGCCCGTGCTGTGGCTAATCGCACAGATGCTTGCTTCATTCGCGTCATCGGCTCCGAGCTGGTGCAGAAGTATGTGGGCGAGGGCGCACGTATGGTGCGCGAACTGTTCGAAATGGCCCGTTCCAAGAAAGCTTGCTTGATATTCTTCGATGAAATCGATGCCATTGGCGGAGCACGTTTCGATGACGGTGCTGGCGGCGACAACGAGGTGCAGCGTACTATGCTGGAGCTAATCAATCAGTTGGATGGCTTCGATCCGCGTGGCAACATTAAGGTTCTGATGGCCACCAATCGACCCGACACACTTGATCCTGCGCTTATGCGTCCCGGACGTTTGGATCGTAAGGTGGAATTTGGATTGCCCGACCAGGATGGCCGTTCACATATCTTTAAGATCCACGCCCGCTCAATGTCCGTGGAGCGCGACATTCGTTTCGATCTGCTGGCACGTCTGTGCCCCAACTCGACAGGCGCAGAGATTCGCTCTGTGTGCACTGAGGCGGGCATGTTTGCCATTCGTGCCCGCCGCAAGGTGGCCACCGAAAAGGATTTCCTCGAAGCGGTCAACAAGGTTATCAAGAGCTACGCCAAGTTCAGCGCCACTCCACGCTATATGACCTACAATTAAGTTTACGTTTTATACATCCTCAATTCTCTTTCGTTTGCTGCGCTGTGAGCCTTTAAGTCTGCAACTGTAACTGCTCCAGCTGGGCAATCAGTAAATAAAAGATCCAAAATATATAGTATACACCATTATACCGGGGGCTTTGATTGCCTTTCTTTCATTGATGCGTTTATCTGTGTAATTTTGCATTTCACTTTTGTCTACACGCAGCCAACCTGGATAAACCTTTGGACGACAGCACGGCTCTGCTGGATGACATGCTGGTGGACAGGCATGCGCCCATTGTTCGTCCCATTCCTGGTCCGTCGTTGCGGGCGATTGACTGGTCTGGCTCTGACTGTGACATGTCGTGGATATGCCTCTTGATATTTATACTCGCACTCTGTTTTGTCATCCCGTTGGTCTATGTCATATACCTGGCGGAGCATCCACATCACAATCACACCTCATAGCCGAAATGAATGAACATCCACTCGTTCCATTCCAAGTGTGCTACGATTTGAACTCTTCCCCCTCCCTCTTACACTTCATTGCTCCGAGACGAATGCATTTCAAATGCAGCAGCTGCGAGCCATAGAATTTATTTTTATAAAAATATTTAATTCATAGAAATAAAGTACCAATTGTGACTTGTACAATACCTACAAAATAATATAGACTTGCATTGATAGCCAAATCTCAACTGATGATTATTTAAGTGTGGTAAAACAATAATTAAGTTTTTCTTTATTGGTACATAACACTAGTATGTATAACAGTTTATTGGTACATGACACTCTATGTATAACAGTTAAATATATTAGGTCGATCGATATCGATATCGATATACGGGTCATTTTAAATGGGGTTTTTGCGTAGCTTAAAGCAAATATATATTAAATATTTAATTAATAGTATCCATGGATATAATAAGTAATTATGTTTAGCTATAATAAATACAAATTAAAATCAAACTATTCGCGCACACTGGGCGTACAATATAGTTTTAAGTACTGTCTTGAATACTTGATATAATATTCTCCTCTGTGGCCATGGCACATGATTATCGATATTTGGTGTTCGTTTTGGTATGCGGGATGCTGTGCGCCATTATTGTGCATATTCCTTGACTCACGGCGGAATATCATCCAATGGCGTTTGTACAGCGTAAATTCAATTAAACTCAATATTCACTTAAACTTTAAGTTCTCAAAGAAAGCAATATTGCTGCGAAGGAATCCTCGACGGACGGGCACAGGACTCGCTGGCGAAGCAATGGGTATGGCTGATGGTAGCCCGTCCGAGTGCATTGAAGGATCGCTGTCAGTGTTGGCAAACGTTAAAAATAATATCTAATCATATATGCAGAGCTACCTACGTTTCCAGGGACGATAAGTCGGAGGCTATAGTGGATTCATCGGCCACCTCGGCCATGGAGACGGCGTGCTGCAGCATTTGCCTGCGCGACTGTGGCGTGCCGGGCTTCTCAGGTGTAACAGGTGTATCAGGTGCTGATTTCATTAGCCTGGCCTGATGCTGCAATGTCTAAAATATAAACTATAAGTGAACTGTACAATTGGATATATATAATGTCATTTACCTTGGCACGCCAACGTCTCTCGGGCTGGGTGCGTTTGCTGGTGAGCAGGAAGGCTTGTGCTAGAGCCTTGACCGAGGGCAAGGCATGCACCACATCATCCTCAACAGCGGGTTTCTCTGAAGGCGAGGCTTTTACCTCGGGCTGGGAAAAGAAGTAAAATTCGTATGATTTGTCCGACTGGCAGCTGCTTGACTCACCATTTCACCATCGTCTATGGACAGCACTTGACTTGGCTCAATGAGCCGCCGCTTCGGCTGCAGGAAACGAAAAGCTGGCGGCGTGGAGCCGCGCGTCGGTGTCACCGTGGGCGAGGAGCACACATTGGGCGTGCTGTCCGCAGGCCCAAATTGCAGCACTACGGGTCGTTCACGCTTACGTGATGCATCTATGGAGTTGCTATTGTGGTTGCTGTTGCTGTTGGCGTCGACGTCGGCGGCGGCGGAGGAGGAGGAGGTGTTGGTAGTGGCTGCTCCGCCCAATGCAGACTCCATAGATGACGTAGTTGTGGACGTGCTCGTCTTAATGACTGTCGTCTCCTGCTTATTGAAATCGTAAACACGCACGGTATCCGAATCATCGCTAGTCGTCAGCACTGACTGATTCGATTGACTATCCAGGCTGCCCGCCTCCAGCACCTGGGCGGGCACAGCTGTATAGATACTTTTGTTGTCGCTGGACATATCGGGGACTATATCCTCCTGTTCCTGCTGCAGTCGCTCCTGTGGCTGTGCGACTGCCTTTTGGCTTGTTTTGTGAGCCTTTTTTAAGGAAAACATTGATTTTTTTTTGGGTTTTGGGTTTTCGTGTTCATTTGTTGTGTTGTATTGTTTAGGTACATTTGGCAGATTTGGTACAATATTGTATGCATGTTGGTTAGTTTTTGAAAAAAAGAATTTGTTTAGGTACAATCAAATATTGAAAGCACAGCTGAATGTTAGCTTGGCAGATCGATATGTATATATATATATATGGACATATATATGGAATGTGATGTGTACATGTGATGCATATGTGTGAGTGTGTTGGTGTGTGTGTTTGATTGATGCACAAGCAGCAGCAACAGCATGCATACAAAATTCAAATACAGCTACAAAAACATTAAAAATTTCTATTGATGCGAGTTATATTTATTTATATATAGCAGAAAGTGAAACAAATGCTGTTAGTAAAATGCCACACACACACAATAATAATTAAATTAAATCAAGCTTCACTTTCATCGATTGGCTTTGTACTCACCCCGCAATTTGTAATCAGCCCTTTTACTAAAAACATTTGTTTCATTTTTTTACTTTTATTATTTGTGTTTGTTTAACTTTTGGCTTTATTTTGTATTTCTATTGTTTGTTGGTTTTTAATATATATATATATGTATAAAAAGAAGTTAGCAGTAAAATGAATAAACTAAGTGTGCATACAAGAGTTATTTTTTAATAATTTTTAAAAATTAACAGCAACAAAATCAATTAAAATAATAAAAAAAGAACATACAAAGAAAAAAGTGCTGCATATTTTAGGGCGCATTAGCATTAGGCAATTAGCAATTACATTATTTGTTGTTGTTTAATATATTTATATATATTATACGGTAGATTAGATAGAACTCAGTTCTCGATAGTAATGTGAATGCAAAAATTTGTTTGTGCTGCAGTTCATTAATTTTTTTTTTTTTTTTTTTTGGGTAGGGGAAATTTGGAATGTACAATTGAATTGGGGAGCAGATGGCACGGTCTGCCTTAAAGCCTAAAACGTGCTGGAGATTCTCTAAATCATGTGAATAAGTGCCTGGTTGTGGGGGTGTGTACGTATGTGTGTGTGTGCGTGTTGCCTTTACTGACTAGTGTTTAAAACTTGGTTGACTAACATATGATTTTGGCAGAGACTAACAGCTAACTATCCACTCTCTCTCTATGTATATATATATATGTACCCCGAACTATAGACCCATGACACCCACCCGATTGGAAAAGGAGCTTTGAGCTAGAAGAGTAGACTATTATTACTGAACCCATTTAAACAACTATCTACGCCCGAGTCCTGATCGTCTAGGCTAGCTGGCTTTGTGTGCTGATCGCTCTCGAATAGGGGATTCATGACGAAATCCTTGGATGTGGCACTGACAGCACGAAAACTATTGCGCTTGAGGTCTTTGTGTAGCAGCTGCTTCTCGAACTGAGTGAGCACAGCCGCCGAAGGACCACCCGCCGAATGCCGCTTGGAGACGGACGAACCGAAGGATCTGCCACTGCCGTTGCTGTGCAGGCTCAGCGTCGACTGTGTATGCCGCTTGGGCAGATGCTGCCTATGCCAGGAGTGCTGCGAACGTACGTCAAAGTCATCGTCCGGTTCGTTGCCCAAGCCGGAGTCGCGATAATGCGAAGCGGACGTCGAGGGGCGTTCGTAACCGTTGCCTAATGTCAGAAATGGGGGAGTGGGGCAAGTAGGTTTGTTAATGAACTTTAGCGAGCTGCTGCGACGCACTGGCTTCGACAGCGTCCAATGTGAGAGGTCAGCGAGGTTTGAGCTTTGAGCGCTACTTGAAATGCCATGGTTGCCATGCGTTGGATTTACCTCATTGATGACAATGTCCTCATCCGTTGGCTCCGTGCTCCTGTTGCTGCTGCTGCTGCAGGCCAAGGAGGTGCCACGAGTGGGCGTGGTCGCCAATGGAGCATTATTAATATAGTAATCGCGACTGTATCTGTGGAATGGAACGGCAAGCTTAGATTAGACTCTCAATTTCAAGTCGAGTCGAGTCGAGTTACCGCTTGTAATCCTCCTTGGCTGGTTCCTGCTCCGTGCTGGACGCCGCATTTGTCATCAGTGCCAGAGCCTTCTTCTCGGTACTGGGACTTATATTGGGCACATCCATGAAGCGCTCCTGTGTACCGCTAATGCGTTGCTTCAAAGCCTCCGGCGCATACGGATTGTTGGGCATCTCAACGGCATTATACCATTTCTTTACCTCACGTTCCGCGATGGAGCCTGCAAATGTGTGGAGAATATGTTTAAGTGACTATAATTAAGGCAGACTTTGACAACAATTTAGCTAGTCTAGTAAATAAAGTATAAAGTGAGAAAGACAGAGATAGATATATGTATATTGAGAGAGCGTATAAACGTAAACACAAGTAAGCTATGTAAATTAGGAGACAACAACAAACACCGAGTGATGGCTGTGTGCGTGTTACCTGGGGCAAAGCGCCGCAACATTACAATATCATCATCATTATTATTATTAACATCATCATCGTCATCACCATCATCGATAACAACTTCATTATTATTATGATCATCGGCATTTAGTTGATTTGTTTTGCTTTGACGTGACCATCTCAGTGAACCATTTGTTAGTTTACCATTTGGACGTGTTTTGGTATTTTTGTTAGTGTTTTGTGTTTTAGTATTTTGGTTAGTATATGTTGCTGTTGTACTAGAGACTGCCTCATCCAATATTTCATCGGGACAACTATCATTATTGGGAGCCAATAGCTCAGCGTCGCCATTAAAAGTCTCTTGCGACGTGGACGGCGAGCTCTCATTGCTGTGCTCTGACCGAGAGCCGGAGCTCAATTGATCTGAGAATAGAATGTGGTTAATAAAGTTAAAGCCAATCTCTCTTAGGCTAACAACAATGAAGTAATTCTCATCATTATTATCAATAGTATCTAATGATGTTTGGCTGGCAATATCTGAAGCTACATCAAAATCTGGAAGAATCTCTATCATATTGGTAGGATTATTTATCTCTAAATGATATTCTGGCTCTTCGACCTGATCATGACTGAAATCATCTACAGCTACTCGAAAGTTATCATCTAACTCAGCAATACTTTTTTTCTTATTATCTATGCCTAAATGACTTTCTGGCTCTTGGACATCATCAATATTTATATCTAAGCTAATGGGCTCATTGGCTGCCGAATTGAGTTCATCAAACAGACTCGCATGTGCTTCATATTCTATATCATCTGGCGGCTCATCGAAACTATCAAAGGAACTCAGGTATTTGTGCATAATTAAGGCGCGTTGACGTCTTCGTTCGATTGTGGCTAACAGTCGTTTGTCTTTAA